TTTTTTCCTCTGAAGTCTCTTGTTTTCTGCAAGACTCACTCAGAAATCAAATGGCCAGATGTAATTGCAACAAGAATCTGCAACATCTGGAAACCTATTTTTGAAGGACTGAGACCTGTGATAAGAAAGAAAGTTCTGGGGACATCTAGAGAATTCCCAGGCCAAGTGGGAAGGCTGGATACAGACCCCCAAGGCTGAACTGACAAGGTCTGGCTGCCATCACCCACAGAGCTTCCCAGAAAATGGCAGAAAGAAGGAAAGTCTTGAGCAGATGAAGATATAAGCTAAAATATTCATTGTGGAACCAAATCAAAGAATCTTAGGTCACATTTGAAGCCCACAGTGCAATAAAGGATTGTCAGCCAGTGATGTCTGTGAGATGAGAAATTAGGACCAAACCCAAACTTGTCATTTGAAATGTAAGAATAATTCTGATGGTATATTTCAGATCAACTTCCAAACTAACAAACCCTCTCCATCTGAGCTCTGGGCTTCATGAGGAGCATGTCTGGTCCCTTCAAATCCCAGCCCTGATGAATGACTGGAAAGGTGGGCAGAAACTGGAGCTCCTGGCAGCCAAATCCTGTAACTCAAGTCCTGCTTGGAAAATGAATGATGAAAAGGGGCAATCCTAATCTGATCCCTGGTCTTACTGGACAATTAGGAAAAGTGATAATCTTCATTTGTGAAACAAGAAAAATTGGCAGCTGGGAAAAAAAGAAAGGAAGTAGTTCAGTTTAATATTCGACTTATGAAAAAATTTGCCATAAAAGCTTTTCTGAGGCTGGCCAGGACAGAGCCTCAGAAATGTCTGGGGAATGTTCTTCAATCAGTTCAGGGAATGTGAGGACATGAATCTGAAAGTGCTGAGCTCCAGAGGAGTGAGGATAAAGCTTCAAGCTTTTCTCTAGATTTGGTCAGTTTACTTTCTGAATGTGCATTGGCATCTGGGAAACGAATGGAATAAAGTCCCCTGCAGTCAGGCTGCAGTTATTGGACAAGGTGGGCTGAAAAAGAATAAATTGGGCTCAAGCAGGGAGAGTGACTGCTGGCAGACACAGGGCTTTCCAAAGGTGGGGAAATTGATTTAGAAAAGTCGTCCTCTCTGAGCAAGAAATGTAACTAAAATGATGGATAGGCTATGGAAAGGATTTGGAGATCATTATGGCTGGTAATAGAGTAATACAAGCTGGAAGTATTGTCTTACCAATGAAATCCCTGGAAATTTTCTTTAATTATGTGGCTCAGATGAAGCAGAGAGTTTGCAGATAACTGATGTGGAGTGAGGAGATTTTCCCAGTGCAGCAGGCAGCCACTACAGCAGCTGCTTGGGGCAGTATCAAAGTAAAGGTTCAAGTGCTGGAAATAATATTTGAAGGGCCATTCATTAGCAGAAACTTTTGCTGCTAGATTTGAGGGGTGATTTTTTTTTTTTTCTTGCACTAAGCAATTTAAATTCTAAATTCCTTTAAATGCAGAGCTGCAGCAAGATTTCAAGTGATTTCCCTGCAGCATGTAATGCTGCAGTGGGTGTACTTACTCTGGCTTTGCTCCAGCTTTCACAACTAATTGAAACTTTGAAAATACACCAGCTTGGAGGTCAATACAAATCCTAAAGGTCCAGGAAATACCTTCAGGATCCACAGAGCCTCCAAAGCTCTACTGAATGTAGAGGTGCCATCACTGCTGGTACTTGTGTGAACAGGGCTGAAGTCACCACAGCTGTGCCACAATCCCACTTCCAGGGTACTGTTTAGATTCCCAGAAGTTTTTTCCAGTTAATAATCAGTTCTCTGAATCGAATAAACACACAGGCTGCACACAGTGGTGTACCACAGATGAATTCTGAGGGAAACCAAGCCATTCCCAGCACCTCGCTGTCAGAAAGTGCTACTGGGCATCCAGGGAGTGAGCTGGCATGGATAAATGAGCTTTCAACGAGTTTTGGACCTCACTCACAGTTCTGATTAAAGTCAAATGGTGGCTGGAGTGGATCCTGCAGAGCCAAGTTTCAGGAAAAAGGGGAGGGAACAGCTTCCAGAGCAGGACAAGGCCTACTGCAGATTTAAAAGATGACTTTTGGCCCAGCACCTGCTGCCTTTTGAGGATGGGAAGGAGCTGTGCTCCAGCCTGCCTGGATCAGATTAGCTCTAGATGGTATCTTGGTACCAAGTACAACACTGAGGTGGGAACTGATGTATTTACAAATGGGCTGGAACACACTGAAAGCCTCAGCCTGCCATAGTTCCAAAGGCAAGGGAATCATTGGAGGCAGAAGTGATGAATTGTGAGTACACAACCAGGGGATGGTTCCACAAACAAAAGGACAGAGGAGAGGCAGAACCATCCTGAGCAGCTCCCCAGCCACTGCCACTCAGCTGAAGGTTTTTTTAAGGATTTTTTTAAGGATTACTGCTACTATTTCAGGCAGATTTTTTGTGGCTTTGTTAATATTGTAAAACCACTGCATGAGTTTGGTGAGAAGGAAACAATTTCAGTGGCTGGCCCAGTGTGATTTAACGTTTTCAAAAATGTTTTTGAACAAAACCTCTTGTAACAGCTCCCATTTTCACCTCCCTGTGTTCCAAACACCTTCCTGGCTGGATGGGGACTTGTCACAAGAAAATGTTCTGTTCTCAGGAGAGGAATTCATCTTCTGCTCAAAGAACATCTGGCAGTGCCTAAATCCAGAGAAGGTCCCACCAAAGGTGCTTCCTTTGGAGAGGGTTGGCCAAACCCTGGCAGGCTGCAGAGGCTGAAGGATGTGGGAGGCAGAATTGGGGTTTCATGGGGCAAGACAGACTCAGCTTCATCCAGAGAGCAGCTTTGGGGGTTCACCCCAACATTGTCCCAGCCCAGAACCCCAGGAAAAGGTCACCTGGGAAACCCAGCTTTGATGTCCTGTTGTCCAAGTGGCTCTCCTGGAATTCTGTGTTCCTCTGGGAGCTGGAGCAGTGGGTGAAGACATCAACTTCAGGTCTGGGATTCCTGCTCTGGACTTGGTTTGTTAAACAGCACAATTGTGGACAGGAAACACGTGGCTCTACCCTGACATAAATATACAGCAATAAATCAAAATGTATTAATTTGTTGGTGTTTAGGAAGATTATTCTGCTATTAAATTCTCCATCTCTCCTTTTGGATGGAGCAAAGGAAATCTGTACCTTAGTGAAGGGTGTTACAATACCATGTGGCTGGAACTTATGTGTTTTTATCCCTATTCTTTTATAAAATATCATTATAATTCCTTGGGTCAGTGCATGTGAACTAAGTAATGGACTGATAATTTTCTTGCTACATTAAACCAAGCACTTTGAAAATGTGAGGGGATTTTTCTACAGCTTTGAATCTTTTGTATCTAAGCCATGCTTTCCAAAATGTCTGATTTTTCTGTACCTAAACCACCCTGGAGGTGTCATGTTAAATTTCAGGTGTGTCACTGACATGTGTAGCAACAGATAGCAGAGTTACAGAACTGAGGGGAAATGGGTTTAAACATTTATTTTAAACTCTGATCTCTCAACTTTGCACATCACTGGTGGCTGAAAACTGCAAGGACAAAAGCTTGGAAATTTGCTACTTATAAATAATCAGATTTTAACACCTTTGTTTCATTTTAAAGTTGTTGGAAGCTTTCTTCCAACAGTAAGGAAGGTTGAAACACTGGAAAATCAGTCCTGGAAAGATTTTCATCAGTTTATGAAGCCTTGCTGAACGAGCTCCCATGTAAATCCGTGCTCCTGCTGGGTTCCTCTGGGTTCTCTGGGAATGCTGACCTGCAGCACAGGGGCAGCTTTCATGGAACCTGAGGCAGGGATGTGTTTTCATGTAGAAGCTGTTGATGTGGTTTTTCTACAGTCTGAGTGCCAGGTGCATTTTAAAAACAGGAATGGGAAGGAGAGCACTGGATGTGGGAGACCCTCCTGCAGAAAGCTGCATTGTCACTGAACAGTCAGGAGTGAGATGTGCCTGGTGTTGGGGTCTCTGAGTCACTGACCCCACATATATGTGTGGGTATATATATTTGTTGTAGATATTAATATATATAGTTGTATTATAATTAACAGAAATATATAATTATATATTAATCTATTATATATTATGATCTATTAACATATATATGTCGTATATTATAGATATTAATTATATATAATTATAGTTATTAATTACATAATATATAGATATTAATGATATATAATTATACATATTTAATATATTTAATATATTATATATTGTATATTGTATATTATATATAATTATAGTTATATGGTATATATTAATTATATATAGTATATTAATCTACATAATATACATTTTCTATATTAATTATATATATATGTACATATAATTTTTAAAATAAAAATAGACACATATATATTATATGTGCTTGAGAGGTGCTTGGACTCTGTAGTGACTTGAGGTCTGAGCACCTACACAGAATTCAGGCAGTTTCTGGTTGAACATTGGAGCTGCTGGGAGCTGCCTGGCAGAAGGTTTGAGGCTGCTGGATGTTGCTGGTTTGTGTGACTTGCTCTCTGTTGGGATTTCTCCTTTACTCTGGGGAGCAGCTGCTCCCAGGAGCTGTGCTGGCTCCAGGAGCTGCCCCGTGTGTGTGGTGGGCACTGCTGTGTCCAGCTCTCAGCATTTCTGTCTCCTTTCCTCAGCTCCCCTTTGAATCTGCACAGAGCTGGGCCTTGCAGGGCCAATGCTCCATTCCAGGCAAGTGCTGAGCCCCTCAATTCAAAACATCTTGCAGAATGAGGCCAAAGACTCTGAGGTAGGAAGAGGTGTGAGGAGAGCTTTATTAGTATGGCACATATTTAACCCATAGGAAAACCCACAAATTTTACTCATTTTAAGTGTATTTCACACTTTTCGACTATTTGAAATAACCACATTTGTAAAAACTTCTTTTAATGAATAGAGCTCTTTATGTACAAAGGCAAACCCTTTTTCCCCCCCCTAAGTACAGTCCTTTTAAAATACCATTTCTTTTGTAGGTCTGGCTGCTTCCCTCCTCTGTTCATTATTGCTTGCTGCTACAGAACCCTCCAGAACTGAAACCAGGAAATTTAGATTCTGTTTTATCTTAGAAGAGTTTTGCTGATCCAGGCTGTGTATTCATCAGGACTAATAAGACAGATAAGTAAAGGACTTTAATTATTTAATGCCAGCCCCAACCAAGCTGGTGTTCAGCACAATATTTGTGTGTGAGGGATGGGAAGGAGCTACCTGGGTACAAATTCTGAACTCATTGGGGGTTCTGCCATTTGACTGCACAAAGCAAAGGCTTCACCATATGATTAAAAGAAATATTTCACTGGGATTTTCTGAATGCTGGTAGTTTTTATCTTCCTTTTCACTTTTGAATGTTGGTTTACCTTACATACCCTTCAAAGTAATTGAATATAAAAAACTTCTCATCAATTCCATTGTATTCCAAGTTTGAATTGCCTCATTTTTAAATTTCTTATGCATTTGGAGACCCCACATGGCAATGTCTGGGCTGAAAACATGGTAGGGGAGCATTGGCATATTTTGTCTCGCTGTGATTTCAACTGAATTAAAGAAACCCAGAAATGAAAACATTTCCATTTGTTTATATAACTAAAAAGCCCTATAAAATTGAGCTAGCAAGAATATCCTTTAATGAACACAAACCCCGTTTGCAAGCAGGCCACAAACAGAGTGACACACACACACACCCACATCCCATCTCCCCTATCAACAGCAAATTAGAGCAGGTAAAAAACCTCCCACTATTTGTCTTAGGAAATATCCACCACTTTTCCAGGGAATTTGGAAAATATTTCTGTGGCCAGCGTGGAGGTGAAATCCTGCAGCACAAAGCACAGCCACGGGCACCGCGAGCCAGCAGACGGGCTGCTGTAAAACAACCTTTTAATAAGGCATTAAAATGCCATCGACCTGGACACATAAAAAAAACAACAACAAAAAAAAAGCTATGAAAACAAATGCCTTTCAAATAATGAGGATCTTATGCCAGAGAGCAGTGTTGATCTCCATGCAGAGATTTTCCTGCTGCAATCAGACCAGGCTAAGGCTGAGGGAGGAATTAGCGGTGCATAAATCGGCTGCGCTCGTGCTGCTCCTGCCGTGCACAGCCAAGCCCTAAAGCATCCTCCAGCCCTTCCAGCTCCTCCTTTCTGTCCCCTAAAATCCCCTTTCTGTCCTCTAAAATCTCCCTTCTGTCCCCTCAATTCTCCTTTCTATCCAAAAGTCCCCTTTCTGTCCCCTAAAGTCTCCCTTCTGTCCTCTGAAGTCTCCTTTCTGTTCCTCAAAGTCTCCTTTCTATCCCCTAAAGTTTCTTTTTTGTCCTCTAAAGTTTCCTTTCTGTCCCCTAAAATCCCCTTTCTGTCCTCTAAAAATCTCCCTTCTGTCCCCTAAAGTCTCCTTTCTGTTCCTCAAAGTCTTCATTCTATCCCCTAAAGTTTCTTTTCTGTCCCCTAAATTTTCTTTTTTGTCTCCTAAAGTCTCCCTTCTGTCCCCTAAAGTTTCTTTTCTGTCCTCTAAATTTTTCTTTCTGTCCTCTAAAGTTTCCTTTTTGTCCCCTAAAGTCTCCCTTCTGTCCCCTGAAGTTTCCTTTCTGTCCCCTAAATTTTTCTTTCTGTCCTCTAAAGTCTCCTTTCTATCCCTAAAGTAGATTGGAATACACTTGGTTTAGGATGCCAGAATATTTTTTTAATTGAATCTCAGGTTTTTATCATGAAAGGTTAAATTTGATTATTTTGAGGGTGAGTCTGGCTGATACAGCCAGAAATAGCTGCAAACCCCATTTCTTGAAAATCTGCTGTGGGTTTGTTTTCACTGCAAGTAATGTCCTTGTATTCATTTAAAGGTTTAGCAATAGTTTGTAGTGGTTGCTGGTGTGTAAAATGCATTAAACTGTTGTATAAATTTATCCTTTAATGCAATAAAATAATTCTCTAAAAGCAATTTTATCACCTGCAATGTATAGAAATACAAAAAGAATTGCAATAACTGATCATTCATGGCTGTGTTTAAGTCACAACTGTTGTGATGGTTGTTATTAGCGCAGCTCAGAAAAGCTACGCTATAAAAAATATATTTGGAAGGATGTGCATCTGTGATTATATAATTAACATGATAAATTAATAAGGTTGTTGCCTAAGACCTAGGCATCAGATTCTCAGCTTTAAGCTGGAATTTAATACATTTTTTTACTAAAACAGCCTGAAAAGAATATTGGTTTTCTTACATAGTAAAATTACTGTTTTGATCTCCATTTTACAGACCACAAACATCAATAATTCAGAGAAATTAATGTATGTCCCTTCTGTATTTCATCTCATTTCCTGTTTTGTCATTAGGTAACAATTCCCCCTAAGGCACATGTTTTTAAATTTCCAATCCAGCTTGTGCCTTTCTTCCAGATCTGCAACTGCAGATATTTTCAGGTTTGTATTTTCCACACCCAGACCTGTGCCCATGATAAGAGCCCTGTGTGTAACATTCCCAACCATCAGAATAGATCTTGGCACTGTGATTTCATCCATTAATCAGTTTTATCTGACTTTCTGCTCACCTGGCTTTTCAAAGTGTGAAAATCTGCACTGCAGAGGAATTTTATGGATTGCAAACCTAATTTTTGGAGTAAAATTCTACACAACTGCTCTGGTTAGAAAGCTTTGGGCAAAATTTTCAGGGTGCTGTGAATTGCTGTTAAGCCTGTGTTGCCTTTTGGCTGGAAGTACATCCCAATTAGTGACCCTTCCATGGAGCAGTGGCACCAGAGAAGGGATTTGGTTGTTTTTTTTCAAGGCAGTTGTAAATGATTAGTCCAAAGGAGCAGCATAAAACTGCGAGTCCCCTGCAGGAGTCGGCTGGAGGAAATTAAAGGATCAACAACAGAAGGGAAGCACTGAGGTAGGATTGTTCCAGGCTGCAGCCACAGGCTCTCACATGCACTCAGGAAATTGGCTCCATCAAAAGGCGAGGATGCAGGAGTGAGGATGAGGAGGATCATGCAGGTGATGGTTCTAAATCATGGCTGAGATCCCAGCGCTTTCCCAGGGAGAGCTTTCCTCCCCTCCCCGCAAAAAGCAGCATTTCCCAGGTAAAAATGGAATCTTCTCTTTATGAATCAATAAAAGTTGGGCAGAAATGTGAGCTATAAATCTGATATAACTCAATAAATAACAAAGATTCAGTCTCCCCACAATAATATCAGCTGGATGGGGATTTTTACTGTGCTGTGCCCTGTGTTTGTGTGTGAGAGCTGTGAAACCAATGATTGGGGAGTGCTTGGCACTCCCTTCAAAGTTTGAAGTAAATTCATTCTGCAGAAATTTGCATCTTCTGGGCCTGGGATGAAGCTGAAACCTTTGCTGGTGGAGCAGGAAAGGATCACAGGAGGGGAAATGCATAAATCTCCATCTGGAGCCAAGTTTGCTGGGAAGGAGATGGGGGAGCAGGAGTGCCAGAGCAGGCTGAGAGCGAAATTCCAAGGGAAAAGTGGAAGAAAGGAAGAGGAATGTCCCAGGAATTCAGCTCTTCTAATGCTCGATACTTTCATCAGAAGCAAACCACTGGAAAGCTGTAACCCAAATAAGAAAATTAGAGCAAAAATTAACAATATTCAACTATTCAGATGTCAAAAGAACCAGCAGAGTTATTGGTGTGAGAGGTTATTGCCAGAGGGGAAAACTCAGCATGTCCTGGGTAATTAAGCTTCATTGGAGAGCATGGATCCCTTCTCCAGGTAAGAAAGTCTTTTATAGCATGGCATCTTTGCTATTGTAATTAAACACCATGGGCTATTCTGCATATGAAGCCTTAAACACTTTGGTCCTTTATCAGGGGATTTTACTGGCCAGGCATGTGTGTTCCTATGGCAAAAAAAAAACCCTGGCTGCTATAAAAAAAGAAACCCAAACATTTCTTTTTATTACTCGACTTGCTGTATTTTTATATATATTGAGCCAAATTCATCCCTTGTGGAGCTCAGTTGAAGCCAATAAGGGCAGATTTGGCCCATGTCTATATGAGAAAGGTGGTGACAATTAAAATATATTGTTTAATAATGAGAGCTATGGTAGTGCAGTGTCTTTGTGTCTATGAAATTATACACCACGACGCCCAGCCAGTGTGGAGCTGGGGCTAGCAAAACATATAAGGCTGGTTTCTGATGGAAAGGCAAAAGCACTCTGACTTTTATGATTATGATTAAATATCACAAAGGCATTTGAACGAGGCTAATTTAGGTAACATCTCCAGAAGTCTCGTTTATAGTGCAGTATTTTACCATTTGAAAATATTTCTTGACTCTTTTTATATGTGGCTCTCAAGGACAGCATGACTGGCTGTTATTAGCAGTAAGTAAAAGAACAGTTTTTATTTCACTTATATTTGAGGGACTTTCAGCAATATTACAAAAAGGAATGTACCCTATTAAATGAGAAGTGAGGACAGCCTTTACTATCACTTTACACTGGCAATTCCCAGTTGTTCCCTGCTCAGGGCATGGTACCAACACATGAAAGGCTTTGTTGCTACCTTGGAGAGCTGAAAATGTTTCCAGTTTAGCACCAAACACCCCCAGTGTGCAGAGGACAGAGGAGTTGTGGTTACGTGGGTCCTACCCAGCAACTCCTCTGTGTGTCCCTGTTGTTCAGTTTGGGTGAATTTCCAAGCTGGAGTTTTGTGCTCTCTGCTGCCTTGCATGCTCCTGCTGCAGTTTGGGCAGTGGTTATCCCCAGCCAGGAACAAATCCCTCACTCCAGGCTCCATCCTGCTGCCAGGGAGCTCAGCTGTGCTCTGCCTTGCAAATGGCCCAAAGTTTGGCCCCAGCACTTTTCTGTGGGTCTACACCTTGCCAAGAGGGGAGCTGGGAGGCTGAGAGGGATAAGCAGGAGATTTCCCTTGGGGAAAATCTTTTCCCCTGGGGGTTCTCTGTTCTGGGCCTTGGCAGCTGCCTCTGGCTCCTGGCTGGAGGAACTGGGGTGAGGAAGGTCAGAGGAATAAGGTCAGAGATGTTTTGTTGAACCAAGAACTAAACTGGCTCTTGATGGTCCTGCTCAGGAGTGTGAGGAAGGTGGAAACACCTCCATACATGGACCAGCAGAAAAGGCAGCTCTTAAACAGAACTGAAGATAAAAAATACCAGTTCTAAAGCTGCTGGTCTTCTAAGGAGTCTCTGACCCCCAAAAATGAGAGTGGGGAGGGAAACACAGAAGAATAAAAATCCTTCTTTTTTGGTGCTTATTACTCACTCTGAAGCTCTTTTATGGAAATCTGACTTTTGGCATCAGACTCAAATAATATTTTATTAGAAGGAAGCATGATTCATTGAAATGGTGCAGTGCAGTATCTATGGAAAGGAAAACTGGGAAGGACACAAGAGCAGCTCAGCTGTGGAAAACCAATTCAAGGAACCATTGCCCCACAGAGGATCTCAACCCACAGCAAGAAACAACAGAAAGTAACAAAGTATTTCCAAGCTCAACCTCTCCATATTACTGATAACTCATAACTTATCCTCATGCAACTCCTTTGCCTGCTGCTTTTGCTCCTTGGCAAGAAAAGAACATTTATATTTAATTACTTTATTTTTATTTTTCTTCCCCTTTCTCTACTTTAGTTTTCCAGCTCATGTTTTCTCTGTATTTAATTCCTGGTTGCTGACCTCCTGCTTCCCCTTCTTTTGCTGTTAATAGGATGATTTGGGGACAGTCTAATTAGCTGCTTCCCAGAGGTGAGGGGATGTCATTTCTGTGTTATGCATGAGAGAAACAACTCATTCACTAGGAGCTGGGTCATTGCTGGGGGTAAGAGCATCTGTAAATCTGAATTTCATGGAGTACATAGCCTGCAATGGAAGCTGTTTCCTCCCAGCTAGGAGGAATCCAGGTAAGTGTGGGGGTTCAGCTTCACATCTGATTTTCAGTTGTAGTTGGTCTAAATGAGATCTTGGTGGAGACTTCTGTGCCTGTGGAGCCAGGACTGGGCAGGGGGAGAGGGGCTGTGTGTGCAGCAGGCACTGAGCTCAGTGAGCTCACAGCTCTGCTCACCCAGCTCTTACTGCCCCAGATTCTCACAGCTCTGGGCTGTTTCAGTCCCCACATTCTGGGTTTAATGTCTCTGTCACTGAGGGAGGATGGGCAGTGGATCCTCAGGGATATCAGAGTTCCAGCCCTCCCTGCCTCGTGCTGGGTGTCCTGTGTGTCTGAAGGGACAATGTTTGCTGCCCAAGCAAACCCCCCAGCCCCTGCACTGAGCCCTGCCAGCCTGGGGAGCTTGGGCAAGGCTCACCCAGAGCTGAAACCCTTCCTCCTCACCTGCAGGGAAAGGGACAGGGCTGCACCAGGGCTCAGGTCTGATGCTGGGTGTAAATGCAGTCCTGCACTGTGATCCTGGACAGAAATCCCACTGGAAGCTTTTCCTGCCCCTCAGCTGTCTCCTTGCCTTCAGAATGATGAATGGTGGAAGGGAAGGGTGAGGGGGAGTGGGGGGATCCCTCCAAGCTTTGAACTGGCTGTGTCATCAGAAAGGTGAGAAGGAAGAACAGACTCATATCAAGCAGAATTTTTATTTGGATAAAATACTTTTACTCTTCTTCACCTTTGGTGCTCTCATGAGTAAGGCTCAGACCAAGTCCTCACCCAAAGATGTTTGATCAGCTGAGGCACTGTGGCTAATAAATATAATAATGTACTTTGATTTTTCCTGTAAATGGAAAGGATTCCCTGTCCCTACTGCCATCCCTCCCTGTCCCCTCTGCCTCCAGCCCTGCACACCGACTGGTTCCCATTACTCTGGTGCACCAGGCAAGTTCATCACCTTTCCAGGATGTCCTGTGATTGATTCCTCATGGCCAGGGCAAGCTGCTCCAAAGTTTCAGGCTAAAATGAGCTCTTGGCTTTAGAGGGGATAATCAATGGTTTGGGTATGATTCTGTTCCATTTTCAGCTGTCTAACACATTTTTCAGATGTGTTAAGAGTCACAGCTGATATTAAATACAGTATCAGGTTCAGACTTTTGTTATTCTCTCAGTAGCTGCTCAGATACCCTGGGCAGGAGGAAACTGCAATTTTCAGTGTGGCTGTGTCATCCATCAAACTCAAATACTCCGTGGCTCATTCCTGAGCTGCACTGCACAGCCAGGGCTGCAGGCTGGCCTTGGTCAGGGCAAGATTAAAGGGCTGCTCCTGCTACACTGAAGTCTATAAAAGTTTTCCTATTGACTTCAACAGAAATAAGACTGAGCCTTAGGATTTTGGCATGAAAACACAAAAATTGGGCTTTTCATCTCTGCTGAAGTGCAGCAGGCTTTGCTGCCTGCCTGACGTAAGGAATTGTTCTCTGTACAAGTTGTTCTCTGTGGCTGTGCAGGGATGTCCATCCCTGCTGGCAGGGAGCACACAGACCTGCCCAGTGTCCTGTTATCTGTGTCAACCTCCCAACTAGAAGATAAAGTTGTCAATTTTTGTCTTGCAGGACATTTAAAACCGTTGCTGCCCAAGTAGATGGTGCTGACACTCCACCTAATTTTTCTTATTAAAAAGTCAAATTTCCACCAGTTTGTAAATACAGCCCCACTGAAATTGTTCCTTGAAACTGCAGCAATGTATGGTTCAAAGCCAAACATTTGTGTTTGCTGAGAACTAAGGAGAATGACAACAGCTAAAAAACCCAGATGAAAAATATTGGCATTTGCCAAATAATCCTCCAAACCTCTTCCTCATCAGTATTTTTTCGTGGAACAAGAGCCTTGTGACCTGTTGTAGCTATTTTCATTGCAGTGGGGGTTGCTTTTCTTTTATTAAATGAGTTTCTAATTAACAAAACCTGCAACTATCCTGATTTTAATTGAACTAATGTTATTAGCTCTGTACACTAATTAATCTCCTTTTTATTTCTTTCTCTCAGGACCCAGTTCCAAAGGTGGGCTGGGGCTCAGGAGGGCAGTTTCCATCCTGGAGGCACCTTGCTGTAAATCCACTGGGACTGACACCTGAACTGGCATCCCAAAAGTGCTCAGAGAGGAGCATTTGGAGCCATGGCCAGGAAAAGGATCTTCCTGGCAGGAGCAGGGGTGGCACAAACCTTCCCCTGCCATTCCCAGAGAGGCTGAGCCAAGTTTAAATTGAATTCTGGTGTAAGTAGGACACAGGCTGGGCTGTCCTGCCCAGTGCTGCTGTGAGGAGGGGCTTTATGTGAACCCTGTGATGAAACCACCCCGAACCCCAGTGTTTTACAGGCGTTTCTCTCATGGCTTTGCACATTAAATAAGGTTCATGTTGGCCAAGGCTTTGTGCTTTGTTTGTTTTTGCTTGTACCACTCCCAAGATTTCCTTTTCTTTAATTTTTAATCTTGATCCCATTCTTTGCAGAGAGCAAATCAGTTCAAAACGTGATGTTTTCTACCAGCAAGGCACAGGCTCATGATTTCTCTTCCAGGCTGCTATCACAGGAATAAAACTCCTCCAATCACACTGAATTTAGGCTGCCTCTTGTCACAGTCAAGTGCATGGCACCTCCTTGGAGCAGGTCCTTAAATTAAAATATTGTAGATTTTTTTTGCTGTTTAAGCACTACTGCAGAAACATGAGTGGCCAAGGAGAGAGGAGGGTTTTTTTCCCTCTGGCTGGAATTTTTCACTATAACCATCCTCAGGGGAGTTCTCATCTTCAAAAGAAACATTCTTTCTATACAAGCTGCAAAAAGAATTATTTAATGACATCATAAATTAATACAGAGAGGCACAAATTTTCCAAAATGTGGAGAGAGAGAAAAATAAATTAATGTTTGCCAAAAACACCCCAGCTCTTCCAGACTTAGGCCCCTCTTGAGCCTGTGAGCTGCCAATGATGCCAGATTGAATGGTGGGGCTCTTGGCAGGACTGAAGTTTAGCTTGTTTAAATTTTGGCAAATATTCCTATTACTCACATTCTCAGCAAGCTGATACAAATATTTGTTCTATTTAGAGGGAAGTCCAAGCTCAGTCTGGCACCGAGTGCTGCTGGGCTCGGTGGAACTGAGCCCGCCTGGGCCAAGATTAAATTTGGACATCTACCTTCAAGAAAAACAGAATTAAAAAATTCCCTGGGCCTTTTAGCACAGATTAGAGCACATCAATGGAAAATGGTCCTCCTGTGGATTCAGGTTTTTCTCACTTGCTAATTTTTGCTTTAATCTGATTTGAAATGGGCCTGGTTTCCCTGGGCTTGGCTTGCCACTCCAGGCTGCAACTCCAGGGCTGGAAAAGCCTCCACACACATGAACCTCCACATTCTTGAGAATTAAAAGCTGTTTAAACTGCAGTAAATCAAAGTGGGACGCAGTAAGCACACTTGATCTCTTTTAAAGCTGTGCAGGTTGTTGGGATTTTTTGTTAGTGATGTCCCCAGTTTAGTGTTTCTGATTTGAAAAACAAACAGAGCAAATCCTCCAGGACACTCAGCATTGCTGTGCTCTGCTTCATCCCGAGGAAGGATCCTGCTCAACCAGGATCTCCAGCAGAACCAGCACCTGCCAAGCCTGTCCAGGTGGGAAAATCAGGAGAAATCAGATGGAACCTCCTGGAACTGGGACTGGACACATCCCCAGGTTAGAAATCTTGCAATGAAAACATAAAGCGAACTAAAATAGAACAACCTGTTTCCATCCCATAAATTAATACAAACAGCTTTTTTTAAATTATTATTATTATTATTTTATTTTTGCCTGTGCTTATCTTGAGTGGGATTTGTAATGTAAATAATTCAATGATGTCTCAGTGCTTTTGTCAAAGTCACACAGGAGGGGGATCCCACTAATATGACTTTTTTAGCCATTTGGAAATGGGAAATTTCTAAGTGGCTGAACTGGATTCCTCTGAGTGGAAAAAGATTGTCACTGGAGAATGATTCATCCCATTTAATCTCAATGTCTGATCTCTCTCCAGTGACTATAAAAGGAACCCAGATGACCAGATTAGAATATATCCAAATTTTGCACATTTTTATGCTAACTCAGCCTTTCCCAATCAGGTCCTGCACTCATAAATATCCTCTGCTATTTTTATAAGGAAAAACTCATTATTTGGCACAGGGATTGCCAGGGCACTCACTCAGCTCCAGTGGCTGCTGTGGGACAGAGCCTGAGCCCTGCCCTTTGCAAAAGCTGCCAGGTAAAACTTGTAATGCCATGCAGTAATTCCATGCTCAAGATTTCTCTTCACTCCCTGCATTGACTGAACGGTTCTGGGAGGATTCTTACAGGAATTACTTTTTTAATTGCCTTAAATCAATAAATATTGCATGGATGAGCAGAAGGTACATGAAAAATGGTTAAAATAGCAGCAGTGATTATTCATTAGAAATGACATTGTTATTGTGTTGTCACCTCTGTAAAAGAGGCAGGAGATCCAGGCAGATTCTCCTCTGCGGCCTGGGCTGCTGACCCCGCTCGTTTTTGGGTTCCATTTGTCTGTTGAGTGTTGATGCAGTGTCACAGTGAGAAATGAACTGAGCAGTGCAAGTTCTGGGCAGGGACAGCCCCAGGCCTCTCCCCCTCCTCCCACCTTTGAGCCCTGGAAGGGAGCACAGGGCACAGGGACGGGGCTCGGAGCTCTGGGCATCAGTGGCTGCTTTTAACTCAGTGCTCTGATCAACCCCTAAAACAAAGAACCACCTGAACAATCCCAAATAAACCCATGGGCACCTAAAACCTGATGGTGGAGCTTTGAGATGGTGAAAAAAGGGCCAAGTGTGCACCTTGGGAAGGGGGAGGTTGGTGTAGTCAGGCAGCAGGAGACAGCAGAGAGATGAGGCACCTTCATTCACCATGGAACATTTTTATACTAATCATTGAAATGCACCCAGAGACAGCTTGTAGTAGTAAAATGACTTTATGTTCTGATATGTAAAATAAAATGTCCATGCTATGTAACAAACATTTAAAAATTCCATACCACCTGTATCTAATGTGGTTTCTAATAAAGATTTATCTGTAGTATATATGTTTTTTTTGTCTAACCAATTCTTAGTTTTTACATCAAAGGTGTGTAATAAAAAAATTTTAAATAGATGTCTTTCCAAAAAAAAAAAACCTTTGCAACATTCATTTTTATTAAGTATTTCATTTGTTAAAAGCAAAGCTGAATTGGACACGTGGCCTGCATTTGTGATATATATAATTTTATATATATATATATATAAAATATATATGTATATAAATAGCTATTCAGCATGCAAAAATTGTAGTGATTTCCAAAATCTCGTTACAAAATCCTCACCAGTCACACACGAATTCTGCTGAGTGGGTGCAGGGGACTGTCCTGGTTGCAATGTGACCCTCGGGGCTGTGTCACAGCCCCCCATCCATCGGGCTCCTCCTTGGGATGGATTCACCAAAGCACAGAATCCCTCTGCTTCCCCACGAGTGTCAGCCTCTGACAGAACCACTGAGGCTGGGAAGGACCTCTGAGACCACCAAACCCACCCTGTGCTGGATCCCCCACGACAGGTGACAGGGACACTGCAGAGGGCACAGCCAGGATCAGCCCCGGAATCAGCCCCGGACCTTCCACCGTGAGCAAAGGGAGCAATGGATGCGCTGCTTACAGATTTTACCTGTTCTACAAATATTTGTACACTGTAAAGCTGGTGGGTCATGGGAGCTCCTCCCTCCCCACCCCACCATTAGGAAAGTATTCCTCTAGGCCTGCTTTAGGCTGAAAACAATTCTGTCTGAGCTGCAAAAGAAAAGAACATAGCACAAAAGGCACGTTTCAGCTGAATACGAAAGAAATCAAGGACCAGCAAATACAGAAATTGGTTCTGGAAAGTATTAGCGACTTTTAAGCTTAAACTTCATAAATATATTGCAATAAGCAAATGTGATTCAATCAAGGGATGGGAGTCTGAAGACACTGGGTCTGTTCCTAACGCTGCAATTAATTTGCTGTTTGGCCTCGGACTTTACTCTTCACTTCTTCGCTTCCCACAGCCACAACCGAGGTCGGTGTGGGGGCAAGAAGAGACATTTGTGCATCGGTGCCTTCTCCCCCGTGCCCGCGGCGCGGCCCCACGGCTCCGGAGCGGAGCCCGCGCCCCGCCGGCCCCGCGCTCCCGCCACTCCTGCACTTCCAGAGGAACGAGGAATCTCTACGGACCGAGAGGGCTAAAGAAGCGCTGCCACGGCAGTCCTTGAGCTATGCAACCCACGGAATGGCTTTTTCCTTGGAGGCTTGGGAGGTTGTGGCTTTGTGAGCCAAGGACCATAAAAACGAAGCTCGTATTTTTCCCAAATAGCCAAAATTTGCTCACGGATGTTTAACATTACAAGCAAAAGAACATGACTAGTTACGTCACTCATTAGTCATGAAGATGGTTTCTACTGGATGAAGACACGAGAATGAATTTATTTGGGAGTCACTAAGAGCCTGATGAATCCAGCCCACTGAGACAGGAGATGGAACTCTCTGTGTGCCTGAAGATACGAGCTCTTCACCCACACAAATCCCTCTGGAAATGCACATGTGTCTCACCGAAGTGCAAGTTACCCACAGGTATAACACTGACTGAACTGTCCTGGAGCAGTAAGGTCGCCGCAGCCTCGCCGGGCCCGGGGGTCACCCGTCAGTCCAGTTCTCCACAGTCCCCATCCCTGAATGATACGGCAGCGACGACTCCCTGGAGAGCGAGAAGCTCTGCGAGTACAGGAACTCGTTGGCCGCATTCAGGTGCGGAGAGGGGGGTTTCCTCTCGCACACGGCCGCGTGCACCCTTTCCCTGGGGAAGGACGAGGCCGGGCCGCGCTCCCGGCCCGGAGCCGGGCCCAGCTGGTTGTACACGCTGAAGGGGCCGTTCCCCGGCGGCTGCGAGCCCTGGCCCGCCATGGCCGGGAGCCGCGGCATCATGGGGGCGGCGGTGAAGTGAGGAGGGAAGGGCTGGTAGGGGACAGTCTCCATTGTCTGGACGCTGTAGCCGGTGTAAGGTGCGACTGAAGTCCACATGTTGCAGCTCAGCGGGGGCGGCGGCGGCGGTAAATCGTCGACGGCCGAGACGGCGGCGATGTCGGCGCCCGAGCCAGAGTACATGCAGGCCTCCCTGGGGGCCACCTCGCCGCAGTAGGACGGGCTCAGCATCTGCTGCTCGTAGGGCGGCGGCGAGCGGAAATAGTGATCATCCCCCACCGAGGACGAGGCGTCCAGGTAGGAGCGTTTGCAGGGCAGGTCCAGGTGCCGAGCGCTCTCTGCAAGAGAAATTCACATTCAGGAGCAGCTCTGCTGGGACTGGGGAGTCCCCTTGGAGCCCGCAGTTATTTCACTAAACTAGTGCCCTTTCTCAGCTTCATCCAGTTAAACACTTTTAGTTCGGGAAAACAATGTACAACATCAAAAAGACATTGGGCTGCAAATGTCAGGCTAATCCTCCCTGGCCTCAAAGCGCTCTGGTGACATTTGTCAGCTTAAGTGAGGGACTCTTCTCACATCAGGGATTACTCCACGTTCATCCAGATAAGGGAGGGCCCTGACACTCCTGCACGGTTCCTCCTGACAAATTCAAGAAGTCTCTTAAAGGCTCTTATCACAGCCTGCCTTCCTGTCATTGCAAAAATGACTCTACATTTCCCAGATATTCACGTCAAAAGCTGCAGAAATATTTCCAGATAAAGGAGCCCTTTCCCAGTGAGCAGCAGCCCTTCCTCAGCTTTGCACAGCCCCTCTCCTCCTGTGAGGACCACGGCCCTGTTCCCCAGCAGCTTTCTGTTAGTTATTAGGAATATTCTCTGGATGAATTAGTGAATTCATCTGTACATTAAACATCTGCTAAAATTACACATTGGCCTTGCAGCCCTCATTACTGGTGCTGTTAGATTCTTCATTTAGCCATGATCAGATAATTCTCCCAGCTTAAATAAATTAGCAGGTAGTGAGACGTGAGCATGCAAATAGAAGGATTTTTTTCTTCTCTGCAAAATTTTTCCATTTAACTTAAAACATGCCATGATCTCATCTGATGCTGGACTAAAAGGAAGAGAATGCAGTCACAGCTCACTTAAATTTGAGAATTAGTGGATGAGAGGAAAGGGCTGCTCATACCAAGCTCCCACAGTCCCACTGGTCTGCAGACATTGAGGGAATTGCTCATGGCTAGAATTTTGGTAGTGCTAATGGCCTCCTGCAAACAATTTTGCATTCAGCTGATCCTAAGAATGGATAATTTTCCACTGAAGCTTTGTGCCATTTGAATTACACATTTTAATTAATTGTTTTAGCTCTGTCTCAGAGTCTGAATTTACCTTCTATGGGACAAACCCACTAAAAACTGTTCCAAACAGCAGCTCTTGCCTCCTGACCTCCAAAACACTCCAATCACATCAGTATTTTTGAAGATCAAGGCCCAAGAGACCAATCCAAACCAAACTCATGGTCTCAGGTTTATTTTCTGTAATATTTTTCTAGCTGTGAACTCGAGTTACCTCTTCTTTTTAGACAATGGTAGAAGAGCCCTGAATCTCTCTGTGCTGTGAAGGTGTTGAGTGGCAGATCTTGAGTATCTGAAGCTGCAAACTGCATGTGAGCACCATTCTCATACTGATAATGCTGAAGGCTCTGGTGGTTCCCGTGCAGTGGATTAACATCTGGCTTTGCTGACAGCTGGCCGTGACTGGACACCAACCTCTGCCTCATGATGCTTTTGGAAATTACTGGATATTCTTTGCTAAAAGAGGTGAGAAAAATTAAGGCTGGTTAGGCAGTGATCAGCATCATCAGAATTTCATCAGCAGTGAGGAAATATTGGTTTGTCTCCCCCAGAGCATCTCCAGCCAATGACTTCACCACCCTTTGCTTCAGACGGTGAACTCATCATGCTGCTCTGGGTGTGGCAAGGGCTGACAGCACAGAGTGTGTCAGGAAGGGCTTTTGAGGGACATCAGTGCCCCTCAGGCACAAGCAAACACCTTCCAGCTGCTTCTCCCAAGAGCTGCAGCCCGTGAGGAGGAGGAGGAGGAGGAGGAGGTACCTTTGGAGCCGCGCCACGCGCAGGTCGCTGTCGTCGCTGCCCCGGAAGCCCTTGGCAAAGGGGTTGTTCTCAATTTTCAGCTGGGTTATCTTTAAAAGAACAAAGCAAGAATAGTGTTTGAAAGCAAATCAGACCAAAGGTACAGCAGCAGCAGGGCTGAGCTGGTGGGTCTCGAGGGGCCCAGTCCTGATGACCCTTGTGAAATGCAGAGTCTGGGTCTTATTCTAGGCCCTGTGTTCTTTTTCTGGACTCCTGATAGAGAGAATTTATTTTTCTGATTTAAATGCTTTCCTATGTTTCCTTTTTAGAGAGCCCTGCTTGTCATGGTGTGGCTCCACCTAATTCCCATAACAATTTAACACACCTTTATGGCCACCATTCAGTCATTTTAACTCTGTGAAGGTCACAACTCAAACACTGTTCTAACCCTGCACAGCCCCTCTCCCTGCTCCGAGCTCCCTGCATCCCGTTTTAATGCTGAGGAGAGCAGCCAGTTCTGCTTTGGGATAGTTTTGCAGAGCTGTTGCTGTTACTAACAACTACACTTTTAGCAATGTTGAAAAATATCCCTTACCAAAAAAACTCCTGAGAACACAGCTGGCTGCTCTCAGAGCTGGAGGGGAAGGTGGTGACATGTGAATTTAAGCAGCTTCCAGGGCTCGAGCCCTTGCAGGGAAGCTCAAGCAGCTGATGAACCACAAGAAGAGTAGGACCCTTCCAAACCCACAGCCTGACAGCAGGTTTGTACATCTTAATTTCATTTTGTTATGCAGTGATTGTGGTTTTCCTCTGACATGAGCAGGATCAGGGCTTCAGTCCCTCCTTGTCACCTTCCCCTGGCCTCATCCAGCCCAGGAGGGGATTTGGGCTGAGCACACACCTTCCTCACTGACCTGTGCCCAGGGGTAACCTCTATCCTCAACGTCTTAATTTTTTTCTTTAGGAATACAATTATTTACAACCACACTTCTTGCTGGCAGGAGATTTCTGAGCTAAATATAGTTCAGCAGTTTGTTTCTTCTAAAAGATACCCAAACCAGGTTTTTAATTGTTGACACTAAAGAGAATAAATAAAACCATTCAGGTATTCCTCTGAGGTTGAGATTTTTCTCAAGACCACACTGAGGTCCTGGCGAGACCTTCTGCCTGCTGTCACCTTCTGCATGTCCCCATGTCCCCTGCTCAGGGCAGTGTCCATCCCCCCCCAGCCTGCAGACAGAGGCTCCTCACAGGATCTTCACTAAAGAATTTGGGCTCATCTGGGACATTTTTCCTAAATCTGTCAGGTCCACCCTGTGCTGCCTCCCAGACACAAACTGCCCCCAGCACAGCTGGACAGCAGTGACAGGGCAAGTGTGGAGTTTATGGAGCACTCTGGGAACTTTAGGGATGAAAGGCACCATTGACAGCAGACATTTTAAATATGTATTAAATATAAGCTCTTTTTGGTTAACCATGTTTGGGCAATTGGTCATTTTACATCAACAGCTACAACTTTTCTACCTTCAGTGTCCTAATGGGCACTTTTCCCCCACCCTGCCTGACCATACCACATCCATGCTTCTGCTCTGAGTCTCTTTACTGGCTCACTAATTGCAACATTTTTGTAAGGACTCTATGCTTCCAGTATCAAAGGGCACACAGGCATCCTGCTTGGGAGGAAAAGCTCTGGTCAGGTTATTGGGGAGGAAGAATTTCACACTTGTTCCTGTTCCTGCAGGATTTTCCTATGAATGTGTAGGAAAGGAGCTGGTACAGTTACACATGGCAGATTTCACTCTCAGGGTGACAGGAGGGTTCTGGCAGTGCTACCTTACTCTGCACCTTTATTTATGAATCTTGATGCCCTTTAAAAATTCCAATTAAATTATTAATTATTCCTCGTACAGCAATTGGACTTTACTATTAGCAGAATTCCCAGGAGCAGGAGCTTGTGCAAAGGCAGAGCAGTAGCAGGATAGAATCTGAAGCCTTTCCATCCTGTGCTGTCAACCTCCCCTGTCCCTGCGCTGCTGAGGTGACACAGGGAGGTGACAATTTGCTGTCCCACTGCACAGGTAACACCACCTCACACCACAAAGCAGCCCCTACAGCACACAGGTGCCCCTGACACCCACCCAGAGCACAGAACTGACCCTCTGTACTTCACACCCCCCCAGCCCCTCCTGCCCCACGTGCAAACCGCAGAGGCAGCTCCCAGTTCCATTTTTATGGTTACATTCCTCATCTGTCTCACTAAACACACATTCTGTAATTACTGTTCACTGCAGATTTATGAGCGAGCTTTACTGGTCATTATTAGATGTGCTTTGCTGGTTGAATGACATCTCAGCTCTCTGAGCACAGAGTCAGGGGAGCTCAGGCTTTGCCAAAATATTGTTACCAGCAGCATCCCTGCTCCTCCAGAGCTGCATCCTGGCTTATCCCTCCTGCTCAAAGCCAGGATGGAAACTCGTCTTTTAAACCAGCAGAACAGGAAGATCCTCTCACCAAAGTTCCTGGGCAGAAATAAAGGATTTGTAGCCCCAAAAGCTGCCTACCTTGTGGTTCTGGTAGGAGGTGACAGAAATGAAGGAGGTCTCTGGGAAGACGTGGGTGCAGAAAGCCGTGTTCTTGGAGCCAAAGGCGTTGTTCTCGTCCGCCTTCACTATGTGCAGCCGGGGCTGGTATTTGTGCATCGAATTCAGGATGATCTGAAAAACAATTGGTGCCAAAGTGAGAAGTCCATTCAAAAAACAAAAGAGACAAGCCATGGCTGTTGGACACTTTGCAGCAGGACCCAGCAGAGCTCAGCTTTAGCTTGGCTTGTGAGTTAGAAAGGAAAATTTACATTCTAGAAATGTACATGGACCGAGGCACAAAAGGTATCTGCAGCTCTGGCAAGCAGAGCTGAACTTAAAGCCTTCCTGGTAAACCCTCATTTTCCATTGCTATTGGATAGAATCAGTCTGGGTGGAAAAATGTCATAATTTTTTTTTTCCCCAGCTCACGCCGAAGCTGTACAATATATAATTCACCAGCAGCCTGGCCTGTAAAGATTCCTAATAAATGCTTTACTGAGCTGAAAAATACACAGTTTAACAGAGGAAAAAAAAACAACACAGAAACCACAGGGGGAAAAAAGCTAGAAAGCTATTTTTCTTTTATCTGCTGGTAAAAAAAACAAACTCCAAAAACCTACAAAACAGCAGATTGGTTTTTCCTGCTGTTTGTGGAGAGGCTGAGTGTGGGTGGCTGGTCCAGGCACCTCTCCCCTCCTCGAGTCTTGGCCACTGAAAGGCAGGACCAGCACCAGCCAAAGGATTTTTTATGGAGGGTGCCAGGGGGGCTGGGGAGGGGCTGAGGTCCAGCAGGGATCACAGCCTGGCTCCAGGAAAGGGTTTTTTGGTTTTTTGGTGAAGCTTTGTTGGCCTGAGAGAGGCTGCCCAGGCTCATCCCATTGCAGCACTGAGATTCCACAAAGCAGGGATGTGCCCAGACGCTGCAGAAGAAAATGGCTTCAAGAAATGGAATTTCTTTTAACAAGTGGGATGGTTTTAAGAAAAGCCTTTATTCCTTTTAGTGGGCAAAGAAGAAATACTGCTGCCTTGTTTTCTCAGCATAATCCTTTCCAATCTCCTCCTTCCGCTCCCAAATGGGTTCATTGAGCCCAGCTGCTCCTGGGGGAGAGGGATTCCAGCCAGGCTGTCACCCCAAAGCCCTGCAGGGACAGGACCAGGGCAAGGAGGGGACACTGGCATGGGTGGGGTCTTCCACTGGTGGGGGATGGATGGATGGATGGATGGATGGGTGGATGGATGGATGGATGATGGATGGATGGATGGATGGATGGATGGATGGATGGATGGATGGATGTGCACACTGCAGCACAGCAGCATCAGTTCACACTAATTACGGTTTCAGCCAGTTTTAAATGAGAATTACCCAGAAACAAAAAGGTTTTTGCTCTGTGATTGCTCTGTGTGTTCAGAAACTCTTTCTTCTCCACGCCTGCCCTGTCCAGGAGAGCTCAGAGCAGCAGCTCCAGGTGCTCCAGCTGGGATGGGAGGCAGGGCATGGAGCTCCTGCTCTCCAAACCCCCTCATCTGCTGCAGGTCCCCCTGCCCACAGTAGCTGCTGCATTATGCACCACTTAAATGCAATTTTTACTGTTGACATTTTCCAGACAACCCTCCCTGCTCCCCAAGAGAGAGAATGAGGAATTTTTGGCATTTTATCAGCTTTGCATCGAGCCTCTGAACCACTTTGTGGCTGTTGATGTGCAGGGTGTAGATGTGAGAAGGTCGGCTCAGGTTTTGGGCTGGAGCCTTTTCTCTGCTTTCATGTATCAGCCACTCGTAAAACAAAGTAACACCCGAGGGACAGGACTTGCATAAAAGAAGGGACATTTCAATTTTCAGTAATTAAGAGTTGAGGCATGCTGATAAATAATGGCAGTCTGGGGTTTGCTGAGCTCTCCTCACTGTCCCACACTGCCCAGCACGGGTGACATTTCCCCAGAAAACAACTGTACACTGAGATTTCTAAAGGGAGAATCAGGAGCTCAAGTTTTGATACAGCCTGCATGAATAGCCTGTGTTCCCCCTCCAAAGCAGCATCCACTGGGCTATAATGATCCTTTAAAAAGATAAATGCATTTTTAATAACATCTTCCAAGTCAAGGAGCCCAAACTATTTCCAAAATGAACAAATGAACTTCTTGGAGCCTGACAGAAAAACTCAGGAAAGGATTTCTGACAGATGCTCAATGTTTCAGTTGTGGCTGCAGATCTGCCTGGAGGTTCATAATGAAGAAAAAAAAAACCTAAATGGCCTAATTTTGGGCATTTCTGTCCCTTGCACAAAAAGTGAGTATTTGCTCACCTGTCTCAGTGTAACTCCTGTTGGAATTTGAGTGTGTGGCTCCCCACCAGCTGCAGAGGGGATTTCCCACATCCTTTTGGGGCTCAGCAATTACCCTCTGCATAAAACCAGCATTTCCCTTAAGAACAAGAACTCCTGCACAGAGGCTGTGTCTGCACACAAATCCTCCTTACCTGTGCATGGTGTGATCCCTGAGCATTCAAAATCCTTACAAACCACCCCAAAAACAACCTTTAGCCACAAAACACCGAGTCTGTGCAAAGTGAAATGCCAACAATTCAGGCTAAATAGTTTTCAAGGCTGCTTTGGAAAGCTAAAAATACACAAAACAAATGTAAATTCCACTCCAGTGACGAACATCAGTGGAAAGATTAGCTTCAAGAATTGTGTCAGAAATGAGAAGTATTTTAATTGATGGGACAGAGCACTGAGCAGTGATGTAAGAGCCTTTGGCCTCAAAGGTGATGCTAAAACAATAACTTTGTATTTTCCTGCACTTCCCTTTTTCATGGGGAGATTAATTCAAGGTCAGACATTGTCACACATATTTTTACATTGTTTTTGTACAAAAAGTAGGTAGTTTGGGATAGGTTGGCAGGGACCCAGTGGTGGGGACCCTCCTAGACTGCACCAGGTGAGATCCAAAGAGCTCCTGGATATTTTGGGAAATGTTTTGCGCCTCTTGGCTGCTCCCCCTGGCCCTGGGACTGCCTTGGTGCTGGCAGAGAAGCCAGAGCATCCCCAGGGCGATGCCACTGCTCCCCCTGCATGCCACACGTGCTGAGCAGACTGGGAGAGCCCAAACCCAAAGGCCAATGTGACCTTACACAAACATCCTTCTCATTTTTATTTTTAATTTCACCCCCTGTCTCCCTCCTTTGTGCTGCTCACACACTTGCAGCTGGAATTTCAGCTGTTACAGAACTCAACTTCATTTTTTTGGCATTCCCCAGTCAGCAAGAAATGTTTTTAAAAATGGTGTCATTTGCTCCTTTCATTTAATTTTACTTAGGAAAACAAACTCCTCTAACTTCTAATCTCTCACACTGCTGAGTAATGTCAGCTCCAGGGCCTGAGTTTGCAGGATGGGACCCAAAGGCCACGAGCTGAGCTGGGGAAATGGTGCCACATTCCTTGTCACAAGGCAAACTGGCCTTGAAATCACCAGTAAAATGTATTTACTTTCATATGAAATTTGGGGAGTTGATTTAAGAGCTCCCTGTTTCGCCAAGGTATCAGATGTCAGATGATGCAGTGGTTGCTATAGCAACTCCCCTTTTTATATTGAATAGTAAATGGCTACGAAAAAGCCACATAATTTTATGGTTGCTCCCGGGGGATCACATAACTAATATAAAATCTTGCATTTTAATATATTTTCTACTTCTTTCTTCCTTCCCTCTATTCTTTCAAAGTGAAAAAGCCTTTGAGCTGAAGCTGGCCCTGGTCCCACACTGGGACTTGGAGCTGGAGCATGATGGCCCAGCACAAAAACCTGACAATCCAGTTTTTTGCATGGAAAAAATGGTGTTTTAATCAAGGAGGCTCTGCAGAATCATCTCAATTAATATTTAGAGCATTTGGTGATATAAACCATCCCAGACTGAAGGGGTTTTTTAGGAGTGAATAGTTTGAAGATGCTCCATCAGTGCTGGAGCTGACCCAGCTGTGCTGCCCGGGATGTGCCCACGGGATTTGGGATCCCAAATCCCTCTTTTCCCTGCAGCCACCCTGGGACTGCCAGGGACACCTCACCCCAAAGCCAACGTGAAAATCACACCAACATTTACAGTGGGAAAGACCCCTGAGATCACCCAGTTCAACCAAATAAACTCTTCTATTCCCACAGGCTCTCCAGCAGCTCAGACACGAACTCTGATGTTCCCTGCATCCCATCCTATGGATTTTCCCTTCCCAGGGGAGGATTCCCCTCTCTGCCCCAAGGCAGGCACAGACCCAGTGCAGCCAGGCAGGGGAACCTCCCAAATCCACACATTTCCCTGGCAATCAGCACAGCAGGGAATAAAAGAAAGGCTGGAAAATCTTGGGAAAAGGTTCAACGAGAGCTCAGACAAACGTTCCTTACGAGATGGCCAAAGCTGGGATTGCCGGGCTTTGTCTCCCTCAGTTCTTTTTCATCTCCCATCAGCTGGGATCCATCGGGACAGCTCGAGGGGGATCCAGCTCCCCTCTGCCACGGGAGGGATTTGGGCAGACCCCCGGTGTGACATCCCTGTGTGACCCCACGCTGTCACCTGGCCCCCAACAGTGACCTCCTTCCCTGCCCTTCTCCAGCCTGGCTCCTGCTCCAACCTGACCATTTCAGGATCAGATTCCAGTGAAACTTTACCAAAATCTGCTGCATTTGACTCACAGCGATGTAACAACAAAAGGATTGAAGAGAGAGAAGTAAATCTTCTTTTCAACCACCAGCCCCACTGGCCACTTCTTCCCCACTATTGAAATGGAAACCCTGGGTCCATCCCTCCCTGTGGAACACAGCTCTGCTCCTTTTTTTTCCCAGCAAACAATGTAAAACTTCACTTTGTAATTTATTTGGGCACCACTATTGCTCTGATTTCCTAAAATGAATGAGTACCAAAAAAAAAAAAAAAAAAAAAGACATTAAAAATAAAATAATCTTTCCATGGATATTCTTTCAGCAGAAGGCTTAGTGATGCTCTGAAAATTTCAGGGCTGGACAAAAGCATTTTTCTAAGGTTTAAATGGACTGAGAAAAAAGGTGGTTTGGTATTGGGGGAAATTACATAGATATAGATATAGATATAGATATAGATATAGATATAGATATAGATAGATATATAGATAGATATACACACATATATACATATATATTGAATTCTTATATATTTAAAATATAAATATAAGAAAAATAAGTCTTGCATATATTCCTTATACATATAAGAAACCATATCTATTATTTTACATACATATATATATAAAACCCCCAAATGTTATACATAAAAATAGAGGAAATTTTTAGCTGAAAGTTGCTCTGAGCAGGACAAGAGGGGTGAGGGAGGATTTCCCCCAGGAGCTGCTGTGGCCCCATCCCTCCTTCCCTCCCTCCCTCTGCTGATCCCAGCCCGGGGTGGGGAAGCTGCTTCCCATAAACCTCCCACCAGCACCTGAGAGGAAACTGCTTGGCCACAAGTCATAAAGCAAACAAATAAAAAAAAAATTATGAATCAAAATTAGGGTTTTGCAAGATTAGCAGGACGTGAAGCTAATTAAAAGTGCCTGAGTGCGTCTGACTGGCACGGGCAGAAAAAGGCTGATTTAATTAATAGAAAAATGAAAAGGAAACCCCAGAACTAGGGAAAAAAGTAAGGCTTTCAGTGATAATCAAATAAAACCAAGTGTGCAAATATTAAATCTGAAGAGAAATAACAAACTCATCAGCATTAATGAGTGAAGCCAGTAAACAGCAGATTTAGGTCAAGAAAAACAGGAATATCACTTCAAATGCTGTCATGAGTGACAGGCCATCTATAATATCCTGTAGCTTTAAATCTCACTTGGTTACATCCCAGAAACTAAAATAAAAGCTTTATTTTAAAAGCAGATAAAATAATTATGGCAATTAAAAGGCACCACCAGCAGCCCAGGAGTGAGGCAGGTACCGAGTAACACAAGCAAGTTCAGCAGTGCTGTGCTGGGGGAAATTAAATTAAATATCTACTTTTATTTGTCACAACCTCCACTTCTAATCTCCATTTATTCCTTGCCTCCTTTGTTAAATTGTTTGTTTCCCTGCAGGAATACCTTTATATATTCTAGAATCTACTTATATATTCTAGAATCTACTTATATATTCTTTATATTCCCATTTTTTTCATTTCCAATCGATCTGGTCCCAGTCAGACCCTCTCAGGAATACTGCTGTGATGCTCTTGCCCTTTCCAAGCTGGCCTGGCTGCAGGAGCTGAGTCCTCAGGCAGAGAGGTTTAATTTCAATGGAGTCACTGACAGCAGCAGCACAACAACAGCACAAACCCCTCCTGGGTACTTTAAACCTCTGGAGAAAGTGGAATTCCCTTCCTGAGGATTTATCCTGTGCAGACACACTCTTGCTATTTTACCATATTGCCCTGAATCAGCTTTCTAAAGAAATACAGGAGTTATGTTCCCCTTTCCAACAGAGAGGGGATTTTTGTGCATCCTCTGCACCTGAGATTAGCACAAAATAACCTGGAGTGATGGAGTCATTCCCATTTTTCATCTGGAAAACACTGCCAGTATTTCCCAGGCAGCATACACTGGGAATGGGTAAGGGATGTGCCACCCTTGCTGGCACTTAAAAGATTATTTTCACCTCTGCAAATGCACCAGCCCTGCCAGAATTTTGGAGGCTCAGAATCACTCACCAGCCCCATGTAAATCAGGGGCTCTATCAGGCTGATTATCTCTGCATGTAATGCTTTGAAAATACATAAATTCAGATTTCACTCTAAGCATAGGTGGCTTACAGTGCTTTCTTTGGGATCAGATAGACCTCACTGTAGCTAAACATTACAGTGGCTGCTGATTTCTTAATCCATTTCCAACATGAACGTTCCTCAGTTGTTAAGCCTGGTGTGAAAGAAGCCTTTCATGGATAAAAAATCCCCCCGGAGCAAAATATACAGCCCACGTTTTCAGGCTGTGCTGTGTGAGCTGGGCACAGGCTTACCTGCCACAAAACCTGCTCAGCCACAGGGGTTTGGGGCAGATTACAGAGCTCTGAATTTGTTCTGATATAAAACCTGCTCAGTTTTATGTGTCTGCATTGACAAATGCCTCCCATGCCTCTGAGTGTAACTAATAATTTACCACAGCAGATAATGGGCCAGGGCAAGCAGCAGGAGTGAGGTTTGTGAGGCTGCAGAGAAAAGGGTGGGTGGCAGAGGCTGAGGCTTTCCCACATCCCCAGCACGGGAAACAATCTCCAGTCTAATTCCATGGATTGCAGCAAAGGCTTCAACTCCACAGTTTATTAATTAAGATGTTTATCTTACTTACTTTAAGTCTTAAAAGTGCCTTAATTTCTCATAATCTCCATGGGGCTGCTCATCCCTGATATTAAGCAGCTATTGCAGTGCACAGAGTCAGGGCATGGCTGGATAAATGGGTTCATTTATTGATGGAATCATGTGAAATTTCTGCTGCCTGAAATTCCAGGTGAGGTCCCTGGTTCAGAGGAGCTGCACTCCATGTAGGGATGCAGCGGCCGAGGGTGCCAGGGCGGGTGAGCCAGCACAGCTCTGCCTGGGCAGCTGCCCACACACCCAAAAATGCCCCAGCCAAGGCTGCAGAAATCCTCACTCCTCATGGTTTTGAGGTTTGGAGGAAACCAAAGACAAAAGGAAACGCAGGCAGGCTCCGCTGGCGCACGAGAAGGCAAACAAACCCTGTGGCTTCTCTGACTTGTTTTTTTAGGGAGCTTTAAGAAAGTGTTTGCAGTCACTGGGAACAAATTCCTAGAAATGAGAAGCTGTTATTATTCCTAACGTAATGCCTTCGTGGGACAGGCCCTGCAGGAGCAGAACTGCTCTCAGCCTGAGCTGGTGGGAGCCTTCTCCTTCTCCTGGTGCAGAGTCCAGCTCTCTTCCATGTGCACCACAAAGAGTGGAGCACACTAAAGCACATTATTAATTTAGAAGCCTAACGAGGAGATGGTCATGGACAGGTTCATTTAGCCAGGCAGGTTGTCAGTGCCTGAACAGAGCAGCAAACCAGGCACTTTAAAATAGATTATTTCAGGCATTTTCCCATTAATGTGAGAGGGAAGGTGCTGGGCTGTGGTACATGGCCTGAGGGCACTGAGCAGGGCTCATCTGGAGCCACAGCATGGTGGGTATTACCCCAAAACTCAAACCACTGTCTCACTAGGGAAAATACAAGCAGGCTGTTCACTGGAAAGGAGGAGGGGGTTAAAATCTTCCCTGTTAAAATGCAGCGCTAAAATCTCAGTTAAAAAATGACAAAGTCAGGAAAAGCAAACGTTTAAAGTTGCAAAACCAACACGGCACATCCTGTTTGTTTTACAGCCACATCGCACATCCTGCATGTTTTATGGTTTACATTTTACAGCATAAACAGTCATATATTAAGCTGCAGAGTTAACCAAGAGAAAAACACAGAGTGAAAAAATGCCACGTGCAAAGCCAGCGGCTCGGGATGGCTGTGGCAGCCGAACAGTGGCAGGGGTGGCTTCGTGTCACTGTCACTGACAGAGCCCTGACACAGTTGTTTCATTTCATTTCCATGGTGCTTCCCCCCTTCAGGGGAGCAGGGATGGGCTGTGATTAATAACAGCAGCATTAAAGGGTGCCGGGGAGCCTTTGAAGCTCACACATGTCTCAGTGGGGTCAGCAGGGTGGGGAGGGGGTCAGGGCCCAGCACGGGGCTGGGTTATCACCGAGTCCCTGCCAGGGCCCGGCTTTTGGAGGCTCAAAATCCACAAAAAATTACAAACACTGGCAAAAAATCTGGATTTTTAGCAGTGTTTTAAGCTGGTGGGGTTCTCCTGCCTCTGGAGTCAACCCCCCCAAAGCTCCAGCTGATTTAGCTGTGCCAGAATCACACTTTCTGGACAGCTTTTGGAGGCATCGGGACATTGACTCCAAATGAAAGGCTGTTCTTTAGAGGCTTGATGCACAATCATTTTAAGCAAGACAGATACATCCCTTCTCACTCTGCACCCTTCTCACAGCCTCCCCTGCCCTCCAAACTGCTGCTGCTTAAAACACCATCAGGTTAAAGCCCACATTTGATGACACAAATTAGATATTCTTACCTTTGGTACAAGGACGAGCTGATGGCACTAAACCTAGAAGGATTTTAAACCCTCTCTTCCCTTCCTCTCACCAAGGATGGTTTATTTTTACGTGACTTTCAGCTCCAATTGTGCAAACCAGACAGGTCTGTGTTTTTCTATGCAGTATTTGAGCACTCACTCTCCTGACAGGCTGCAAGGGCCCTTGGTCTGAGTTTTTAAATGCACTGGGGAAGATGACTGTGTGCTCCCCACCTCTGCATTCCCAATACACATAAACCAAGATTTTCCAAATAAAATACTTAATCTTTTTTTAGGGCTGCCAAAGCCAGCTTGGAAAATCAGGAGTTTATGCAACCTGCTTCTGTGAGCTGCACGTACCACGTGCCAGGCTGAAAATCCCACAGCGCTGCCCAGAAAGTTCCTGGGCACAAAAGAAAACCTCAGTGGCATCCAGCAGGACACAACTGAGCCAGTCAGGGCTGCATTTCCAAGAGCAGGGGAAGCACAGTGTGCTTTAAACACTCCCCCCAAGCACAAAATAATGCTGTTCCTTATTATTTCATTAACGATTATTAACTGGGATATCCCACCCAGCATCCCAGACACCAACTCAGCACTGTGGGCCCACCTCCACCCACCCAAAGCCCTTGCAGAGCGTCTCTCTTACGTGTCCAAAGGGATCCAGGTGGTTGTTGGTGAGTTTGAGCTTCTGGAAGGACACCAGCTGCCGCATCCAGTGGGCTCCCGTGGCCGGGGAGTCGGGGTGCACGTACAGCCTGCCCGGCATGGCCGGCTCCGCCTTCCCTGCCACCATCCTGGGAACAGAGGGGACAGATGGCATCACCCTGCCACAGCCTGGACTCAGTGGAGGAGCTTTTTGTCCTTGGGCTCCTCCCAGCAACCCTCCTGCCAGCTCTGAGGGGATGCAGTGGCACATGGGGACTCAGAGAGGCGGACAGAGGAACCCCATCCCTGCTCCCACATGGGATTTCCTTGGGGCAGTGTCTCCACACGGGCATTTTGAAGACACTTTTCAAGGAGGAAAACTTACATAGGTTTTTGGAAGCCTTCCATGGCCCTTCTGCAAAGGCAGATGGCCCTGCACAGGACAAAGTACCTGTGGGCAGGAGTGGAGCTGGAGTGGCTGCACCCTTCACAGCCAGGCAGGGCTCCCACAGCCTGTCCCAGTGGGAAGGGGCTGCTTTCCACCCTTCTGCAGCTCCCCTTGCCCCACACCACCACCAGCGCTCATGGACACAGTGCCCAGCCATGAGACATCATTTAATGGCAACGCCCTCATTACTCCACATTGTTCTCCTCTTATAAAACCCCAATAAAAGCAATATTACCAAAAACAACAGAAACTTTCCAGCAGCAATAAAAGGAAAAGGGGAAACAGCTCTAGGGCTGGCAAAACCTAAATTAAACAGAGTTAAGAACTATCCATCATCTTGTGTTTAATGTCTGAAACACACAAAGTGGCCACCATGGTGCAGAGACCTTCAGTCCACTCCTCTTACCCAGCGGCATTCCGGGACAAAAGCACACGGAAAGGGGATTTTTTTTTTTTTTACTGGAGCAGCCCTAATGTGCAAATAAATAATTTCTGCTTTCTGGGATGTCACTGAGCTCATTCCCTGTGAAATTTTCCATTGCTTTTCACCAGGCAGCAGCCAGTGGAAGGGTTTGGGGAAACCACAGCGAATAGTGGCAGTGAGGGAGGCTGCCAGGCATTTTGGTGGGGGGAAATCAAAAGAGAAAACAACACGTTTCCTTTGTCAGAGAGCAAAAATCCCAGCTGCCTCTTGGGTAAGTAACTTTGCTTGGAAAGGCACAGGGAAGGGAAGAATAGCAGAAGAGAATTGGGGCTCTGAGTAAACTACCCCATATTTCACTTTATAGCTGCTCTCCTGAAAGCAAAATATTACTATAGAAGAAAGGAATTTAAAACTTCTCTTGAGTCACAGAGAGACCTAATTTTGGGGCCAAAATGGACCATTAGATCATCCTGTGCAGCCTCTGGTACAAGGCAGGCTTTACCCTCCTACACTGCACATAGCCAGATAACCCGTGCTTGGCATAAAGCATCTTCTCCAAGAAAACTCCTCAGCCTAGAACACTTTGGGATGGACAGTGGACAAGTCACCACCCCCAGCAGCACTTTTTGCCAGTTAACCACCCAGCCTGTTAAAAATATTTCATTTTATATTTGTCTGGTTCAAACTTCCAGCCCTGGCTCTCGTGTCCACCATTGCTCCAGCAAAGAGAGCTCTGGAATGTTGGCGTCCCTCCTGTGGGAAGGTGTTTCTGTTGGTTTCTAAGTTTGCACAACAAATGGTTGATCCAATTGCAAATTTCTTATGGAAAAGCAGGCAAACAGAAGTGTTGTCTTACCATTTGTTGTCACAGAATTTGTAGCGGTGGTCGTCAGCCGGGACGATGTCGATCAACAGAATGTACTTGGTCTTGGGGTTCATTCCAGTCACTTTGACCTTGTAGCTGGGAAACATCCTCCTTAGGGAGAGCAGAGGTTACCACGTTAGGGAGGGATGAAAGCCCTGGAACTGATGGAAACTTGGAGCAGCAGCCCAAAAAGCAGATCCACCATCAGAGGGGTTCACACGAGGACATTATTGGTTCTTGTTCCTACCTGAATTAAACTCTCTCTTTCCAGAGCCTGTGCCCAGTGCAAAAGTGGGCACCAATTTTGATAAGAATATAGAGAGTGGGGCTATGGGCCAGTGCCTGGAAAAGGAGGGTGCAGAGAGAGGTGTGGGGTAGAGGGGGTGAAAATATCCCTGTTTGTGGGAGGCTTGCACAAGGAGCCCTCACTTCTACAGGAGGCTCTACCTGGCTTATGGCAGCACCAAAATTGCAGATTTCTCGCTGCTCTGGAAGTGTTTTAAAAGTCAGGAGACATGACTACATTTCAGAGGAAACCGAGCTCTGCCATTCACACAATCCCAACATCCACCAGGTCCCACCACTACTCCTGTGTTCCCTACAACAAACTGAGAACTGAGGTTCAGTAAAGACTGAGGGAGACGAAGGGTTAAACCCTGTGGTGGTGCAGACAGGCTCCTCTGGCCTTCCCAAATTTCCCAAATACACAGCACACCCATTAAACCTTGCTGGAGCCTGGAGCATAGCAGGACTTCCCACCAAAATGTGCCAGTCCCACTGGCTTCAGCAACCAGCACCCAGCTAGAGCATCCCATAAACCAGAGCATCACCAGAGAACATTTACATGTTTTACAGACCTAAAGAGTCTCTGTGATGTTAAATCACACCTTTTTATAAAGCTGTGTGCCTGTGAAAACAGCAGATTCCATCACAGTCCAGCCTTGCAATCCAAAGGAGAGGGTCCTAATGGATCCTGACACTGCCATGAGCTTCCCAATCCCTCAAGGCAGCATCAGCAGCCAGGATTTGCAGGATTAGGCACTTCACATCCTCAGAATAACTATTTTCTTGGCTCCATCTTCCCCACCTCCTCCTCATCCAGTAAAAACACCCAAGTCAATAGAGCAAACTGGCTCAACACAGCCCTTCAGCCAGGACACAAAGTTCTCCTTCCCTTCATCTGGAGGATGAGAATTGCCACATCCAGGACTCGTTCTGATTATGTGAATTAAGATGGGCCCAAATCCTGATGTCATTTCTCCATCAGACGTCAAGGCCACTTTGTCCCCCACTTTATCCCTCTTTTCCTGAGCTGGTCCAAGTCTGCAGCACCATTTTGTCGCTGCTTGGGGAGAAGGCAACAAAATGGGCCCTGTTCAAAATCGTTTCAATTGACTCTTTTAACCGCCCTGCATAAATTCCAGATGTTTACCATGTAATTAGCCCGGACTAAAAAGGGGTGGTTTACCAATGTCCCTCTTTGATTTTCATTCATAAACTCTACACTCCTCTTAACCTTGTCCTCCTACAGGTAAGCACCTGGGTAAATACAGTAGGACATTTCAATTTGTGAATACACAGCCCAATTCACACATTGAAAAAAATTGTATAAAGAATCCAATCTGAATGCCAAGATTTTTTTTTTAATTAGGTCTTAAAATGGTATTTAAAAATGAAACAAAAAAGAAAAAAGAAAGAAAAAAAGAGAGGATAAAAGTATTAAAAACCAGTAATGAGATGGACACAATTCGACAGTTTGTCATACCTGCACTGGGGATTTTTTATAACATCGAGCTTCTGAATTTCTTTTTCCCTCAAACATTTAATTTACTGTAGAACATCCAAGCTGCTAAAGTAGCTGAACTGATATATTGTAAATGTTAAGTGCTTCTTTAATGGCATTTAAAATTAAGCTTCAGCATATGGAGCTCATATAGCATGGACATGCCTGAGTTTATAATGTTCTTTAGTATAGCCCTCTAAAATAAATACAAAGAGCCAAAGTACTACTATAATATATACAGCTGAAATTCTTTAAGGATAACAAATGGGGACTCACATCTGATTGAAGGTGTTGCTTAACTTGCAAACCACTCACTATCTCGCAGTGGTAGCATTGTACTCAGCAGTCCACAGACCCAGCTACAACCAAGTTTGCCAACTCTCTGCATTCTTTTCCAGGAAAACATGGGTAGATTTTAGTAATTTGGCTGTGCATGGACATTTCATCATTATTATTAGCTGCTGCATTTTGGCCTTAAAGAAAAAATATGCGACTAATGTGCTGTCCAGGGACTTGTCAGTTTAATTTTCTTAATGAAAACATATTTCTCAACCCCTTGGCAGAGGCTCGTTTAGTAAATATCTCTGCAATATGATACAAACATGGGTTGTGCATCTCTGATGGGAAGGCATGACAAACCCGAGAGCTGGGGCCAAGGAAATGCAGTCATACAGATTGAATTAAAAAGGAAAAAAACAAAAAAAAAGAAAAGCAAGAGACAGCACCTAATATCATGTCCTGGCCCTTATTAAATTTGAAAGAAGGGAGCAGAAACCCACGGTGGAGCTGCACCAGCCCTGGGAGCGAGGCAGTGCCTACAGTGGCTCCATAGAGCTCCCTGTCAGGCCTGGGAAGGGGCCAAAAACCTGCCTGCTTCCCCAAATTTACTACAGGTCAATGGAGCTACTCACAGGCACGAGGAGCTGCAGCTCAGCAGCAGCTCTGCACAAGCAGAGGCAGGAGCTGCGGGCGGATGGGCGGCTCCGGAGGATGCTCCGCTCCGGCCAGCTCCCGGACAATGGGTTTCTTCATCATCCATCGCTCGGGGACTGCGGAGGCACAGCAATCACCCAGCGCTGCAATAAAACTTGCCAACGTCTTGCCAAGCTCTGCAAAAGCTCAGCCTGGTTTTGGTGGGAGGTCTGAAGCAAGACCCGGGCAGATCCCTGTTTTATCCGCCCTCCTTCCCGCACGGCGCCAAACCGAGGGACAGCATTGCTGAGCAGAAAATGGGGACAAAACTCGGGAATTTGGGGCTTCCTGGGGAGCGGGGGCAAGCAGGAGACATCTGATCCTCAGGGCACCTCCTGTGCCAAGGGCAGCTGCAGCACTGCCTGGGCAAATGGGGCAGCTCGGTGAGGTTCAGTGCTGGGCACAAGTGCAGCACAGATGCACCCAGCTCTCTGGTGAATTTTGAGCCACCAGTACTCAGGAGATTAATTGCAAAAATTCCTGGCCTCATCACCTTTTGTTCAGACCCAAAACCTCTTTGGACACAGTGTCCACAGGCTGCAGTAAATGCCTTGAATGTGCCAATGACAACATCATCCCTGGGGTGGGGATGTCCAGCACTGGACCAATTTCCTTCCAATTTGAACTCCTTTTTTTGAAAGCCACACCAGGGGTGCGTGTCCAACCCACAGCACACCTTAGGCAGAGGCAGCAGGGCCACTCAGGGAGCAGGGCCACCAGCCACCAGCAGCCCCAGAGCTCCCCTGCCCACCCAGGGACCGGCCACGAGCCCTGGGAGCACCCCTGTGATGCACAAGGGACTCAGCACGAGCAGCCAAAGCACCAGCCCCAACAGCCTCGTCTGCAAAACACCAAAACTGACAGGACTCCAGTTTTAGGCACATCCAAACCCATTTCTCCCTCCCTTCAGCTCCAGCCAGAGCAGAAGGGACTGTCCAGGCTCCTCAGCCCTATCCTGAGGGTCTTGTGTGCTCCTCAAAGCTCTCTGCTGGGTTTAGTGGCTCTGACAGGCACGTTCCTGTCCCAGCCCTGCACTGGCAGGGAAAAAGTGCTGCTGTGCCACAGCAGCAGCTCTCACTGCCCCTCACAGGGCAAAACTTAAATCAGCTTTTATGTTCACAAAAGAAAGGCACCCTCAAAGAAAGCGATCATGGGGACAAGGCCACAGTGTCTCCTGTGTGAGCAGGACACCCCCATGGCATTAAAATCCCACAGTCACTGGGTGATGCCCTGGGGAGGGAAGAGGGGCTGAGCCTGGCACTGGGACCGTGGGTAGTGGCAGCAGGGTCGGTATCACCAGAGCTTGGCACCACACTGCCACGGCCCCAGCTAAACCCTTCCCTGCAGATGAAATGTAGCAAAAACAGTAAAAGCCAGGAAAATAAACAAGCAGCACAATTCCTCAGGCCTCCCAAGCTTCAAAGATGATGTGCTAGTGAATTATTTGTTCTGATAATGAAGCAGTCACTGCTTAGCTAAGTTTATGCTAGGCACATTTTATCTCTACATGATATTCACAAATTGTTTTAAAATGAACTGTTAGAATAAGCATCTCTTGTTTATTTATTTATACTATTACTACCCAATCCCCTTAACCGTGGAGCAGTTGCTGACATGGAGCCAAAGCTTCTATTATGTTCAAACAAAGTTTAATTGATGTGTAATTGGCTGGTTGGGTTTGGAAGTGAGCGATAAGAGGAAAGCTTTGCTTTTCTTTGGGGCAGCAGTTCCCAGCCTTCCAGGCTCTCCAGCCTTGGCCTCTCTGTGGGCATCTCATGTGTGTTTTAATGCCCAGATGAGCAGGTCTGCTTGATCCTGGAGAGTTGGGATGGCTGCAAAGCTCCCATGTCCAACAAAATCTTTTTTTTTTTGGGTTGGAGAAAAGTGGAGAGAATCAGAGCTGATTGAAGAGCTCAAATACTCATCTGAACAATGACTGTGCTGCACCACACTGCACATCACAACAAACCCTCACTCCCCTCCTGCTCAGCAGGATTTAATCTGACCTTCACTGAGATGCCAACACCATTCCTGATGTCCCTATGGGTGCAGTAGCTGGGAAGGGATGTCTCTGACCAGCACAGGGTAAGCAGGGAATCCAAACAGTGTTTCCATAGAGAAAACTGCATGGAACCAGGACACCAGGCCAACCCAAGCCATGCCCTCACCAAAGGCTGTCAGTGCTCTCTGAAGCCCACGGATTTATGTGGATTGGTGCTCACTGCACATCCCTGAGATGTGAATGGTCCTTCAGATACTACTGAGTGCTTCCTCCTGTGCTTTCAAGGGAGTAAAAACATCCCCAAGCACTTCAGCAGCTCAGCAGCTGAAATTCTACTTTTTTAAGACAATAAGA